GACATGTTTCCTAAACTTTCAACTGCTATCAAAAATGGGGATGAATTGAAATCAGTACAGCAAAGAATTCTCAATGTTATTAGACCGTTAAGCAATTTATGGTCAAAAATTCAAGAAACAAAAAAGAATAGAAAACATATAAAAGCAGACAAATTAGAATCATTAGTGCAGCACACCATTCTAATGCTAGGCCAGAGTAATGTACATACGTTAATGTTAAACCGTCTAATGTTTATGAAAAAATTTGTTCGTGACTCCAAGCAGGCACGCTATCTATAGGTTTTCATTTTTTCTGGAATGATAAAATAGCACTCTACTCCAAAGATGTCATTCGATAGAGCTCGTCAAGTTCTATTGAAATACGTACGGATTTTACATGAAAACGTTTTAGGAAAGCATGCTAAACTGTAATACACTGTACATCACTCGTGAAAATTCAAGTTTTGCTTGCTTGCTCTTGTATTTTAAAACGCTGCGATCAAACTGAAAATTAGTCCGAAGCATAAATATACGATAACGCAGTTATCTCTAAAGTTCAGCATTAAGATTTTGTTTAATAAAGTCAGAGTTCTTACATTGTTCATTAATAAGTCAGATTGGTAGTGCGGTATCGATTAAATTTATGGGCCTACCATTTTAGGGGGTGTTGGTAAGTAGTTGGAAATCTGCTCGAGTCTTTCTTTTATACGTCTTGTACTGCAAAACGGCATCGAAACTTATTGGTCTAAAGTCATTTACAAGTAAGCTCCTTAGTATAACCGTTATTGGTGGATGGATAAGAAGTGCAGCTGGTGATCTGAAGATTAAGTATTTAACAATTGAGTCTCCGCAAGCCAGCAAAATTGGCTTATAGGATTCACAACCGTGCTATTTCGCAAAAGAGTTTCTTCTGGAATATCAAGCACTGTCCCTCATTTTTGTTATAGACAACCCCAGTAGTACTAATTGGCAAACGTTGAAAATTAGACGCATTAGTATAATAAAGAAGCGAAACAAGAAACCAATAGAAAAAAACAAATCCAATGAAGCCGTTTGTTTGTGCAAAGCGTGGAACTACAATTGGTGAACTAAATCTGTCAGTCAAAGCATCTGTTATCAGTTTCCAATCAAATGCTAGTGCTCCCATTCCAAGACCAGCATAATCGACCAGTTGTGAGAGAACGATGTTGTTTGGATGGAACATACACATCCAGGAGAATGCGATTAATACCGGCATAATGAGATCAGGTAACCAGTAGTAGACGGCCTGACAAACACAAACAGTGATGAAGAGCTTTAATCAGGTCAAATTGAGCTATCCGAGAGTTGTTGATTGTTCTCGCTGATGAAGCGTGCGTAATAAAGCCATAATCAGTAAATTTGCAGACCAGATCATCGTTGACAGTCCTACAAGAAATCGACGCAGTATACCTGAAGAGATTCATATGACCATGCGCGATTTGCATTTCCTAAAATCACAAAGGGAAGCGAAAATCGCACGAAAAGTTTCAAACCTTCCAATGTTCTCTATTCATTGCAAAGAATAGTACTGTGTCAAAAACACCGAGAAGAATGAAGTATATTTTCTTTCGCCAGACACGGTCGAATAGTGCGACTAGTCCTGTTACATTCTATGGTATGTCGTAGACTAAGGGAATAAGCACAAGTTACGTGGCAGAACTATTGCATGACTGACATCGGCAGGATTCAATCATCATCATCATATGTAATAATTAAAAGGGAGATACTGGGTATGTGATTGAGAAAGTGAATGTGTTTTGTTTAATAAACGTTATTTACTTAGATAAACATTTTTGATTTATTGTTAATTTTCTTCTAGTTCACTGTTTATTTATTGTTTTTACTTCTATTTTTGATTACTATTCTGATTGTTACTGGTACCAGTTGTACGTTATAACATACAATAGCGTGGACTTGCACTTCTTGCTATTCAATGGCGAACCAATTTAGCAAGGAGTGTCAAGAAGCTTATCTTATAATAAATATAGTTTAAATCAACTTTATTTCTTATTATTCACCAAATGAATCACTACTCTGCTGACTTGTCTGAGCATAGAGAAGCATTTTTCATTATACAGAGGTATTGTGAATCTGAAATGTTATCTGTTTGTCTTTTTACATCTTAGTATATATCGAGCTACCAAACACTATCGTCACGCTATTTAATATTGACTCTATCAGATATATTTTCTTGTTAACCATGCAGGTAAAAATACATTCAACTGCGTCGTTATTCACTATCTGATATAGTTCTCACCTTCAAGGGAATGCTTGCTACATTAGGTATTTTCCAGTCAATTTCAACTCTTGCTACTTTAAATGATAAATCTCTTGCAACTAATTCCACAAAAGGGCGTTAGTTACCTCATTCCTTCAATTTTCTGACAGTCTTTATAGAATAAATCTCATCGCATTCAACACCGTACTGGTCTCTATGACTTTGCTAAAGCAGCGAAAAAACTAGGTTAATATGAGACTTTGCACTGAAAATTATACTTACCGTATTTTTGTGACTTATACTTTCTTTCTACTAGCAAAAAATGATTGGGAACGGGGCCTCATTGTAAAGAGGAGAAACAACTTTGTTGACAGATGTAGCTAACTGTCTTTCTATCAAATGGTGAAAACCAGAAGCGATAACTACCATTGTTCAAAAGTTATTCGAAAAATATCTAAAGGTATCATTTTTCGAAATCGATAGTAACATAAATATAACACTGATACTTCTGCGAAAACTTGAAATATTCTTTTCTTTGATTACATAAGTCATTGAAACTTATCGCGATGAGGTAACCTTTAGTTCTGAGGCTGACACCAGTGATAGTACTATAGTTTTCGGGAAGGAACTAAAAAATATTGAAATTTGTGAATTCAACCTTTGTGAGGTTATTAGCTAGAAGAAAATCCGCTTCCGAAATGTTCGAACAATAGGTTGTTAATCAAAAATCAAAAGATATTTTTTTGTCAATTCAGAAGAAATGGTTACAGACAGATTAATGTTTTGTAAATAAATCTGTTACGTCAGTCTTTTTTCCAGAAGCCATCTTATGCAGTGCAAATCAAAACAAGATAAAATTAGACAAAATCAGAAGAACTGGCTATTCTGTAGCTCCTGCTTCCACCTAGAATACAGGTACATTCTTCTAGCTACAAGCGAGTTAACATCGCTTCTCATAGTAAATCAAGCTCATTATTTTTAAAAACTTCACCCAAAGCCCTGAATAGTGTTCTAAAAATTCAAATACATTTTAGTTTTAACTAGATTTATTAAAACAACAAATCGAGTATGCTCATTACATGTTGTGACAATTTGATCAAAAAAGAAATATAGTTAAATTGCTAAAAAAGAGAAAAGAAAAACAACTGCTAATATATTAGAGAAAGAACAGCAAACAATTCTAGAACAAGGGAGACTAAGTTCTAAGGACTTTATTATCACATTAGAATATTTTCAACAGATCTCTATCAATTTCAACCTGTGTGTGTCTACTGCAGAACAATAAAAGCAGATCAAGTACAACCACATCATGGACAGAAATGTTTTGTCGTTTTTATGAAGTATAACACAGTATTATGTGATATGAATAAGTCACGTTTATGTGATATAAAAGAAAAATTGAATCCCTAAAGAGAATATGGTTTAACTGGATGATATTGACCTTTAACACCGTCTTAAAGATATTTAACATTAGAGATCTTTCCGTGGTGAAAAGAGGACGGCTAAGAAAGAAGTGAGAAACAGTTTCGTGGAGAAACCCACACGTACACATACATTCTTTAATTAGATGGTGCTTAGCGAAGTCAAAGTTTTATTGACTGAAATTAACTTTGCAACGAAAAAAATCAATGTCATCCATGCGGTCCGCGGCTACAGGCAGAGACAGGATGGTCCAGGTCAGGTCCAGGTCATATGTCCAGACCTGGCCTAGCAAGAGTGGACTTGGACCTGCAAGACGTGAACCTGGAAAAGAGGACCTGGACTTTGACCTGAGCCTGTACCTGTGACCTGTCGGCATAAGCAACATATCAGCCATTGACTATATCTAGCAGCGTGAAACTGAATTATTTTATACACATTTTCTCTCCTGTTAGAAATTCTGAGAACAACATGAAAAATCGTAATAACCTTATTACCTAAAGACATTTTTGTTCAAAATATCTATCACGTGCTTCTCATATATTCTAAGAACTGTTCGTAAACTCTAGTACAGGATATTGTAAATTCGCACTACTCTCAGAATTTTTTCATGCAACGGACCCATCGTCCAGGTCACAAGTTCAGGTCATAGGTCCAGGTTCAGGTCAGGTCCAAGTCTAGGTCTATTTTTTTCAAGTGCAGGTCCACAGGTCCAGGTTTAAGTTTATAGGTCAGGACCAGAACCGAGGCAAAATTGTTCATTAGATCGAATAACAATAAGCCACCTTACAGTTAAACTTTCTAGTTTCTCCTACAGGTTTTGATCTTGACCCGTGCAGGTCACAGGTCAAGATCTAGATATCCTGTCTCTGGCTGCAGGTAGTCTAAACTTTAGTTCGTGCGGTAATTTTAGTTTGTTTTTTTAAAAAAAAACATTTTATTTTACTAAGAAGTATAAAACTCATGCAATATGTCTGCCTAAATCTGTTGACGAATTTTTATTTCTTGTTTTAAATATGATGTTATGTCACTCGTTTTTCTTTGTTCGATATCTGCGATATTCGATGAAAAATAGAATAATCACAACGAAGAAAATGTCAATCGTACAACTATTTTATTTTTGTAGCCTTTTGTATACAACTGCAACATTATCAAATAATGCTTGATTACAAATAATATTCATTTCATAGAGATGGAAGAGTTAATTATATTATTTTAACGTTGCGAACGAATAAAAACATTAGACGATAAAAAACAAGAAGAGATATACTGAATTAAAACAATAGTAACAATATATCACAGAAATTTTCAACGTATGGAAGCACTGCTGTTTCTGAGATTTGGAATAAGAGAACCCATGCGCTTAAGTTTCTAATAGTTTTCGCTTAATTTCATCAAAATCTGTTTGTAATGCAATAGTCAATTTTCTAAATTCATGATGAATTCTTAAATGAGCTTTTTCTAATACTTCACGTAATTCATCTGTTTTTCGCATTAGACGAACATTTTCACTGTCTTGTAACAATGGTTCACCGCCACGATCAATATGATGACGATAATAACCAACTTCGCATGTGATTTGTTCTACTCGATGTTTTTGATGTTTATTTTGACTAGTGTTATTTGAGTTCGTCACATGCACAGTAGTCAATGTTGGTAAATCAATTTTATTGATCTTCAATTCTAATTTCCATAAATGATATTTTTTGAGACCATGTAATTGCGTTATGCGTTGATTTATATTTGGAAATAATGAACGTTTTGATAATGATAGAACAAGTTTTGAACATGATTCACATAACAGACCGAATTTTGCTTGTAAACCTAAACATGTTTCAATTCGTGCACGTAAATGTTCACGTTTAGCATTCAGACGAAAACGTTTTACATCGCTCACAGCTAAACCAACCTAAAAAATAAAAATAATAAATAAAACTTTTCTTGTATGTCATTTCTCATTTCTACGTACCATAATGTTCATGATGACAATATTCATTGTAAACACAAATGTACTGTACAACACCATAGCCGCTTCTGATCCTTGCAAGAATTTTCCTTGTGGAAAAAATAGATCGTCAAAATCATATTCTCCCGTTAACATCGCCAATGTCTTTGGTATGGTATACAAGATATTCGTAAACTGTGGTTTCTTATGAATGAAAAACATGTGAAAAGCGATGATGTAACCAATCCAAATAAATACATAAATTAGACAAAATTTTAAAAATGTTAAAAATACGCTAACGAACAATAATCCATATTTGCCTATTTTCAATGCATTCATAAATACCAACAATAATAGTGTCCATGCTGTACCGATCCCCAATGCACCGGCTTCCCATTGAAATTTACATCTTAAACCGGTTTTTCTCGTACAATCATTGATATCAACAGCAAATATAATGGCACACACATATGTATGTAATTCCAAAACATTGACGAAAAAACCACGAAAATATTTTTCACGTTGATTAAGCAATTGAGAAAATTCTTTCAACAAAGCTAAACACGATGCTAATAGTAGCATCATACGGACAATTTCTAGAAGAAAATATACAATTAAAATTCCCTTTAATTAAAATGTTCAGGAAATTCGTATTATAGCCGGGACATCCGTAAAATTGAGCTAAACTACTTTGTGAGTTTTGCGTAGCTCAGGTATCGTTCAGAAAATGAGATTTTTAGAGGACGTTTTCCTACATTTTCATAAAAGCTCATGCAATTTTTTTTTATAGTGCTCAAGAATATTGGGATAGATTTACTGCGTACTTGTCTGATCTTGTACCAATGTATAAAGAACATGAGTCAGTGTCATTTTCTTTGTTCTTGTCAATTATGCACATTGAACTGAAGAAATAAAATGCACTCTATGGTCAAATTTGAACAATACGAAGAAAAGCGTAGGTTTAGACGATATTTATTGAATAATGTATCAAGATAAAACTTATGCCGAAATAAATGTGATATTCTGAATCTGGTGAAAAAATGCAGTCGAATGAAAGTACTCCTTCGATGTTTTATCTAAAAACGAGCTTAATATCAAGCATTAACTTTTGTTTTGAGGATAATTTCCGTGTTTTTGAATTTAACCATAAAGTGCATAATTGAACTGAGCAAAAAAAAGCAATGTTGGTACATATGTTTTGCTGCTTTGGAAGAGATAACCTATTAAATCAATATTTTAGAGTTTAATTTAAACCTAAGCTGAAATAGACTGAGTATTTTTTGCACATTTCGACAAAAAAGCTTACGTAATAGTATATTTGATTGTAACGGATCTGTTTGATCATTGCGCATATTCCAACACATTTGCTTACAACTTGTATTTGCCATATCATAATAGGTAAAACCAGGTTTATGTGGAGTTGGTGAGATAAGTGCAACACTGGTATAAAGTGTGACAAAAAATATTTGTGCACACAAAATTAAGAAATAAAGAAAATTTCCGAATAATTGAAACTTTAAATCAACACACATTTTCACAACATCATGATCGTAAACGGGTGCATGATTTGCTTCAGCTATCAATGATAGTGGATGTTGTTTCAACCAATTTGTCGATGAAAAACGTTTTGAACGACCGAATATACATTTATGAGCCGATGGTCGAGCACGAAGACAATCATCTATTACAGAAAGATCAATACCATCTTCACCAACAAATTGTTCTAATAAAACAGGCACTAACGGTACCATCTCAGCCTAAAAGACTAGCTATAGTTAGATCCTTTTAGTATGGTGATTGACACTTACCATGGTTAACATTCGTTGTATTGGCGTTTGATCATACGATGATCCACTGTATGCAAAATTATAATGTCTTAAAAAGTTTTTATACAATCGATATACTTCTCGTTCTTCTGGTGGTATTCTTACACTAATAAATACTCTCACAAAATCACTTTTTTTCAATGCAATTGCATATTCCAATACATTGTATCCTCGTCCATTAACATCAATTTGAATTTGAATAACCGCCGAAAAACGTTTAGTATCAGAAACAAAAAATGAGACGATATCTAATTGATTTTTATCGACTGTTGTCTTCAATGAGTCAGCATTAATAAAATCACTTATATCAACATTACGGTGTAACCATTTTGAACCTAAAATATATTAAAAATAAATACAGACTGTTCATTCAATAAGCTAATAAACTCACTTAGCATGTATTTAACACATTTTAGACTTCCTTTTTCAATAGCAATCACAAATGCCGTTTTTCCACTTTGATTTTTTTCCACTAATCGTTGTAATGCCTAAATAAATGTTACCAATTGAAACAAAAATCTACCAGACTTAAACTAGCGTTTAAATTACCGTTAGTCTTGCATTACTTGATGATAAACGTTTTAATAATGCGATTGCTCTTGACAAGACAATATCATTACATTGCTCAGCTGCATAATGGAACACCGAAGAATCACTATCATCTTTAATAGTTAATGAAATTGGATCTTGTTCCATGAGTAGTGTTGCCGTCGATGTACTACCAGCTTCTATTGCACATAGTAATGGTGTTTGCCCTTTGTTGTTAATTAATGAACTAGCATATGATGTTTCACATATCAACATTCTTACAATATCTTCGTGACCTAATTTTGCTGCCAAATGTAACAAAGTTTGTCCACATTCTCTATCAAGAGTACTTTCCCGTTTAGATGTTGCGTATTCAGGAGTCCCACTTGCAGTTCCTGCTGCTGCTGCTGCTGATGTATTATCTAAAAGAGGTGCAGCTACAACAACAGCAGCCGTTGTTGACGGTCGGCGTAACATTTCATTCTGATTAGTACTGCGTCTATGAATGAACGATCGTCTATATCGTCCGAATCGTTTATCATTGTCAAATAAACCATCATCCCAGTCCAAGGGATTCTCAATAGCAGCTGGCGGACTGATACGAACAGCTGGTATAACATTAATGCCCAGTTTTGTATCATGTTTGTTGAATGTAGCTGGCGTACTTGGTGTCGAGTTTGATGTTACATTCTCGACAGACTGGTATTTTATTAATGGTGCGTTTGAACGTTTTTTTGGTGGAATGATATAGATTTGTGGATGCGTGAGCATCTAAATTGAACAAAATAGTTTAAAATAGTTTAGTTAAAAAGCGAGTATAAAAATGAATGCATCTTTAAACCCCTTTAGCTAGTAGGAGTTTGTTATTAGTACTAAAGTCACGTTATTCTAAGTTGGTAATTCAATCGAACTACATTTTATACGACCTTATTTACTTTCTGTAAACCATGTTGGTTTTGCAGTATCTATCGAGTTATATAAGAATTAATACCTCGCTTTTAAAAAGTGCTTTGTACCTTGACTATAGTTCTATTATAACGCTCATTTTTATAAAAAAAATTGCTCTGAAAATCGTAGTTTTGATTTTAACCAAATGTTTCGGGAAAAAATCAGATAGATCATTTGGTAGAGCTCGTTGTCTATATGGAGTAATATTCGAGTTTAGATTCGTGATGATGGTTGACTAGTCCAGGTTAGGATTTTGATATCAATGGTCAAACATAGTGTTCTATAATTGTCGCAAAATGGTCAAAAGTCAAATAAGTACCAACTGTTTTATAATCATGAGTGAGTTCAAATCATGTCTACTTTGAATCGCTCAACCATCTTCACAGATCTAAACTCGAATATTACTCCATATAGACAACGAGCTCTACCAAATGATCTATCTGATTTTTTCCCGAAACATTTGGTTAAAATCAAAACTACGGTTTTCAGAGCAATTTTTTTTATAAAAATGAGCGTTATAATAGAACTATGGTCAAGGTACAAAGCACTTTTTAAAAGCGAGGTATTAATTCTTATATAACTCGATAGATACTGCAAAACCAACATGGTTTACAGAAAGTAAATGAATACAAAGCGTAGAAGCTCTGAGAAATTATTTTTCAGATATAGACAAGCATATTAAAATAATTTTGAGCAAATACATGAGTAAAGTATTGTGCCAATATGTCTCCATTAAAATTGTTTTGCTCAATCTGTCAGGATACCTGAATCCAGTACAAAAATTAAACTCGTGGTCTATATAGAAAACTTTAACGGCGTCATATTAGTATGAAAACAAATTATACTTATAAAATTATTAGTATATTATTATTTTTAGCAGTTAGTATGCTCTCATATCCCTGTATAAGATTTTACCAAATACCGTTTTTTTTTGATTGTCATTTTCGATATTGTTGTTTTTGACAGTTTGATACCGCGTGGTAGATTAACCTCTGTAACAGGAAACGATTAGAGAAAGACACTGCTTTTATACGGCTATACAGTCAGTATATTCTATAGTATTTGTATTTTTGTGGCGGATCTAATGAAAAGAGGAACTATCTTCCAAAACTGTAGATACAAAAAAGTTTGTAGTAGTTGAACGGTACCAACAACTCTTCAAAGTAACTATGGTGTGTATTTTCACAGTGTTTACTAAACGTCCTTCATGTAATTGTTCCATAGAAGTATTTTGTTACATTTGAATGGTTGTTAAAACAAAATTCAAGTAAATGGTCAAATGTCATATAATTTTATATATATTCCTTACAGTTATAAAAAGTAGAATTTGGGGTGTACATCATATCAGAAGATTTCTTAAAATTTTTCTCCGGATATGACAGCCCAACTGAATTATAAGATATTTGCACCACACGGCATAATTGATTACATTTATAGAATAATAATTATTTTAATTAAATTTTTACCAGTACTCTCTCACGCTTTCTTTCCTCAAGACATCGTAAAACGATCGTTCGGACAAGATGTAGAATAAATCTCTACACATAAACACATATTTATGAATGATGGAATACCAGACGGGTATATTCAATGTTTTACACTAGAGATTAACATCGATTGTTGCAAATAAAGAGATTGTGACAATAATTTTTTATTCAGTATAATATAGTAGATAGGCTCCAGTTATTGGAAGATAACTAGGGGATAAATATGTATGTGTGTATTTGCTTTTATTTTAACTGTTCCCACTAGGGGTGGCTTACAGACAAATGAACATATATGTAATAACAGAGAGAAAATAACAATAGTACAGAAAACTAGGGAGAAACAGTGCAGTGGGTATGTGAATAGCTTCAAATCTGAACAGCGAAGACTCGAGTTCTCATTCTTCCCGTGTAATCAACTATATTCGCGTGCTGTGTCACGTGTTTGATCAACTACCAAGTTTCCTGTACTGTTATTATCTGTTCTCTTTGTTATTGCCTGCACGTTCATTTGTTTGTAAGCCACTCCTAGTGGGAACAGTTGAAATAAAGCAAATACACACAGTAGTACAGAAAACTTAATGGTTTATTAAAAATGTGACGCAGCACGCGGTCATAGTTGATAACAGAGGAAGTTTGAGGAATCGACTCTCCGTTGTTCAGATTTGAAGCTAATCACATACCCACTGCACTGTTACTCCCTAACTAGGGGAATAAGAGAAGAACGGTTTGCACATTAAATCCCTCATATTCTCAGAAACTCAAATTAAAAACAATGCCAGATAAAAGCACCTTAATATGTTCTCAATCCAGTAGTCGTCAACCAAAAGAATATCTATATTTCTATATTTCATACTCAAGTATCCAGTATCGCAATAAAACACCCAGCTCTGGTAAACTATTCTGAGTTTTAGAGCTTTTAGCGCGGTCTTATACTGCGTCCCAAAAAGAAATTTGTTCTTTCCACATTACAAGTGGTTAGCACCAATCTATTCGGAGATTAAAAAGGACTCCTGCACGATCGTCATCCTGCTTTTCACGATTTTATAATGAAATTTATTCATGTTATCCATTTGATAGCTTTTATCAATTCTTACATGACATGACATGACATATTTTTCTTAATCATATTACAGCCTCTTTGCAAGAATTCTATTTCTTTATCTATCCTCAGCAACTATAAAAAGCATATTGAGTAAACATCCATTTGATAGAAATAACGGTGGATTTTCGCTAAAAATGGAAAAATATGAATTCAATATGGTGCACCATGGATACTACTAAACAGATGGTTTTATATGAAAAACAGTTTTATCAGTTCTTAAACAAACTCCTTCAAATATTCTTTTGATCCGCTTTTATGTTTATTCGTTTAGAGCACATTTCAAAACAGAATGATTATTAGAATGTTCTCGTTAACTTTTATTTTGCAAATAATTTAAGAGTACCAACTGATCCCTCTTTTTCACTTGTTAGCAAATGTGGAATGAAGATTCGATTGAGTCGCAACTTCCAGTAGAAATGGAACATCGAAAAAGGGAACAAAGTGTTTTTGTAGAGAATGTTGAGACATGTTCTTCGACGGATTTTCTAATAATAGAAATCTGGAATATATTGCGATCCTTCGAAAACATTAAACGTTATCCGATCGAGCTAAAATTTAAAAATCCTAGATGGCTACGAATTTTTCGTATTTTGAGAACTAAAAAACAGCAGCGAAAAAGAAATTCCCTTTCTGAGACATTATTCCAGATATCTATAGTAAAATTTTTGACCGGATCGACTGAAGTTTCGAAGAATGAGTAACGTAATGCATTCTAATGAAAACTAGCTTGTAGAAGAACATGTCACAATATTCTGGGTAAAAACACATCGATTTTCTTTTTCGATGTTTTATCTCTGGAAAAGTTTTGGCTTAATCGGATCTTATCTGCACGTTTGCTAATAACATGAGAAAAGGAGGGTACCCTTCAATAACTTCATCCATACTAGTACAACCTCAGCACAGCAGGTTTTTACTAGCTGCATCATTAAAAATTACTCAATTTATGGCTACAGATTTGTCGAGTCGTTATTGAAAACCTCAATAATTGAAAAAATGATTTGAAAAATATTACAGAGCTCGATGAAGCTTTATTGAATTGCCCTTCTACACTGTGTGTTTATTCTACATCGATAAGAAAGCAATGAGAAAGCGAAAAAGGTCAAGAAAAAAATAGACCTTTCTCTTTCTCCCTTTATGTATATATATAGACTACTAGAAGAGAAGAGATAGTAAACAGAAAGAAAAAGAAGGGATGTGATTATGAAGAATGGGATACTATTGACAGACGTAGCTTACTTCTGACACACTACAACAATTATACTACTGCCTACAAAACTATCGTATAGTGTTTTTTGTTTCATATCCTTTTCTCATCCTCTAGGAATCTCACCTCATACGAAATGAAGTGTCATACTCACCATTCTTGTTACTGTAGGTTGTTTATTCATAATTAAATCTTTATTTACTATTCTGCAGTCATTTCATTAATCCAGTACTCTTCCTTCTTTGAAAGTTCTCTCCTCAAATACGGATTTTTATCAGTAAGATAGCCATGTGGCTGTCCAACTACATAACGGATCTATAATGTTTTTTTCGTGACGCAAGAGCCAATTATTATTTTCTTTACACTCTCACTCACTATCTGAGAACATGAAAAGGATTTTTTTTAGAGAAAAAAAGAATTTTATGTAAGAAAGAAACAAAAATAATAGTAAACATAAAAAAGCACACGATTGTATATATTTATATAGCGATTAGTTTTCTTTTCTTTAGCTATGTGTTTTTTATCAGTGAAAAAAAAAATGTTAATTCAAGGAAAACTATTTTCTGTTGTTTAATGGTATTTTAATTAAATTTGTTGACGTTTCACTTCATCTGTACATTTCGATATAACCGTAAGTAAAGTGAACTTTATTAACTGTTAACAAGACGTAAGAGATATTATTCTTTTTCACATGTAGAAAATGTGTAAAATCGATAATATGAATTGTAGAACTATTAAATAAATTGTAATTTTTATGAGCTAAATCTTAAGGACTTTCTTGTTTATATAAATTATAGCATCGATTAATCTAACGCTGGAAAGAGTACACAGAAACTTTACTCAAAGATCAACTGAGAAGGTATAATGTTCACTTCTCTCTGACTTGACATTCATAATAAAACTACTATTCTTAATAAGAAAGTATGTTCGTAATAAGAAAGTATGTTTTGATGATGATGTTGTTCATACTTTACAGTCATTGTATTCGAACCTCGACGCTGACTAGTTATGTAACCTTAGGCTTATGTGC